CTGCTCTGAGGCTACCTCTTCACCCACCCGCCTTCCTAGAGCGTTGTTCTCTGAGCTGATCCAGGGAGACTCGGAGCCACCTGTGTAGATCCAGGGTGTGACACAGGCACTGTGTCCCCAGTGCCGAGAGCCCCTCCCAACTGTGTTCTCTATCCCTGCTGTCATTCCCTTCTCGCCACAACCATCGGTCCTACTATTTAGTGCATTAATATCCTGGGCTAACACCTCAGCAGAGGCAGCCTGAGATCTTTCCCTCAGCACTGTGTCAGCCAGCCAGGACACAGTTAACAAATCTAAGATGGCAGACTGAGATCTTCCCCTCAGCACTGTGCCAGCCAGCCAGGACACAGTTAACAAATCTAAGATGGCAGACTGAGATCTTCCCCAGCACTGTGCCAGCCAGCCAGGACACAGTTAACAACTCTTAAGATGGTACCCGCAATGATGGCAAGTGTATCTTCAAAGGACTGAGTAAGAATTGGTAAAATTTCAAGAATTGAGTTGGGCTGACCAGGAAGGATCCAAGGCAACGGGACCTGTTCATTTCCCTTAGATGGCACAGAGGTCCATTCTGAACGTGCCACTTCCTGCTGCATCTACTCCTCTTCCCACTTTCACCTCTTCTTTCTCTTCCCAGCCCTTCTTTTAAAAAGCTTTGAGAATGCAGCACACAGCTACACAGCTGAAATCCCAGCACTTGGGAATCGGGGGTAACGGAACCAGGAGTTCAAGTTCAACTTCAGCTATTAATGAGATTGAAGTCAACCAGAGTTATATGAAACTGTCTGGAAAAAAAAAAGGAAGGAAGGAAAGAAGGAAGAGAACTTTGTTATTCTTTGAGTCCATTTATTTTATATTTTACCCAGTTTGAACTTATTACTGCAATACTAACACACATACTCCAATCATATATATATAATCCTTGTGTATTATTCACAGTAAAAAAACAGGCAAAATAAAGCAATTAAAAATAATCTATTTTAGATAGGAAGATCTGAATGTAGTTGCTGAATGTAGTTGGTTTCTTAACACCCTCATGGATAAAGACAACCCTGTGAACCAAGACACCAAACTCCGTGGCAACAATAGAGTACAAACAGAGTTCAACATTGCTGACATGGTCCTGTGATCACTATTTCCTAAGCTGGAAAACAAGTAGAATGTGTATTCATTTAAAGCTAATCAGAGAACTCATAAATACACAGTAAATACAAGGGACTTGAGACGCTATCAACAGTCTTCTAGCCAAAGTTCAAAAACCACTAAGTGTGGGCACTTGGGTCCATATGGAAACCCGCTCAACTGAAAACAAGCACTTGCCGTCCTATTTCTCAGATGCCCAAATGGAATTATAGGAGACAAATGGCAACAAGAATCACTTGGGGAATAAACAAAAGCAAGCAATGCCTCCCAACCAATCAGCCTCTTGAGCACTTAAATGGATGCTCAGAGAAGGCTCCCAGCACTTCAGCACTTAAGCATCGTTTAGCTTCACAATGTTTTCCACAACCTCAATCAAGCCTTTTACTAGGGAAAAGGAGAGAAAACTCCTTCCTCCTTCCTTGTCCAAGTGGGTCACTGTTGTCTCTCTCCACTCAGGTTGCCAAATTCTACTCTGGTTCACTGCATATTCTAAATGCTGGAAGTGGTTATGGCCAAACAAGGTCAGAGAATACACTGCTGAGCAAGGATGGGGGTGCACTTGGGAAAGACAGAGGCTGGAATCATGCTACCTCTGGAAGGTGACTTGCTTTCAGTGCATCCTCCTTGTTTATGGATGCCCGTGAACTCTGTCTTTTTCTCTAATGTTCCAAACTAAGAACAGGATTTAAAAGCCTTAAAGGTATTTGCAATTACTTTAAACAACAATAAAATAGTCTAGTCATCCTATAAACAGACCTATCATCTTCTGTAAATAAAACTAGCAAGCATTTCATCTGTCTTAGAAATAGTTATTCTACTGATCAGCCACAATAGTCCTTTTCAATGTTCCTCTAAGCCACAATCCAGAAAGTTCCAGGAAGACTTATAAGGCTCAGGCTGAGACTAAGGACACTGGCAAGAGCTGACCTACAGAGATAAGATAATATGGTAGTCTGATACCTTAACAAAATCCTGGCTTTATTTTCCTATATGTCATAACTTTTGCTTACCGACACCCACAAGTTCAACTCTGAGTAATTCTGTAGAAAAGCATGTCCACCTTCCACGTCTTCTAAGCGGCCCACAGAACTCAAAAATCCAAATGTGACTCCCACTCATGTTTCATTATATTGCTGGGGTGCTTCAAGAATATTCAGAGATGCAGAATGCCAGGTTCCCGGAGTGAAGAGGAGCAATTGAAGCCCATCGACAACCCTGTGAACCTTGGAAAGCTGTGACTGCTAGCTGCCTGCATCTGCTAGCCACTCCCCCACCCGCACCCCCAAGAGAACCTTGATTCAAACCCACTTGAATGAGGAATGATCATCTCAGCCTTCCTTGTCATGTGCAGTAATATGACCAAGTTCTGGCTTGATTTAAGAAAAATACACGCTGTTAAAGGATCATTAAAAATGAGGGATTACCTCTGCCTCCTACCCTGTAGATTTTATAGCTGGGATTCCAGTGGCGGTTTTATACTTTAAAGTAACCAACATTGAAGACAGAAGAGAAATGCTGAAAATGGCAGAAGAGAACCTGAGCCTGAAAGACAGCTGATCCTCAAGGGAGCCACCCTATCAGACAGCCTCTGCAGATTCCTTCACACGAGAAAGGCTAAGCATTTATTTCAGCGGTTATCTTGTAGTAAGGATGAGCTACTCGACTTAAAAAAAGAAAACGGAAGAAAATGGTCACTGATATGTCTATCATGCAGTCCTAGAAGCCTGCCTCATCTGAAACAAGACATTTAGCTGCCCTCCCCTGGAGAAAATCCTTCACTCACACAAAGATTCTACAGTCAAGGAAAAACATCAGAAAATTCTAGTCTTACATCTTTCCACAAGAACAGAAGCTTGAGATCCAGTTTGCCTTTGGATAACTCACTATCCCCAGCATCCCAAGATTCTGGTTTTGCCCATGCCACTCCAGGGGTCTCACCGAAGGAGCACAAGGTATATGAGGCTGACCATTCTGGATCACAGACTGGACCAACACTGCCCACTTGCCACCTATACCTAAAGTAAATGCAACTTGTAATGTAGGCACCATGACAAGGCAACCATTAATACCACTAACCTTTTGTACTATTATAATCAATGGAAAACTATAAGGGTCATACTACTATATCAGAAAATGATAGCTCATAAGCATATTAGGATTGCAAACATAAAATATTACTATGAGCAGTGCTAATAATAGATATTATTTGATTGATAAACGGCATATGACTTACACTGCAGTAACTGGCTGGCCCTTTGCAGAGATGGTATTTGGAATTCACTAAACATCAACATCCCCATCTTACGGATGCAGGGACTGAGGCTTTCAGATGACAAACAACTTAGTGAAGACCTTAGCCAGCTACAGCTGTGAGTATAGCAGAACCCAGACTTGTTTTAAGCTTATTATTTTTTTAAAAAAATCTATACAATTCTGTCTTTCAAAATATAAGAGAGTCTTTCTTGAGCCAGCAAGATGGCTCAGCAAGTAAACATTCCTCGTGCCAAAGTTGGTGACCCAAGTGCCATCCCCAGAGCCCATGTGGTAGAAGGGCAAAATCAGTTCCTGAAATCTGCTCCCTTACCTCCACCCTACCTCCACAGACATGCTCTGCATGCATGTGCATGCGCATGTGTGTGTGTGTGTGCGCACACACACACATGCAAAATAAAAACATAAATTTTTTTTCAGAACTTCAAAAACCATCCTAATTCCACCTCAACTGTTGTATTAACACAAGCATTTTTTGAAATCAAAACAAATAATAAACACTTGATAGACTTGGTCTACAAATGATGAACAACGCCAGAAGACAATGAGACAAACCTCCCGGGTGCTCTCTTTTAATTCCACTCGTTTTATTTTTTAACAGTTTCCTTTCAGGGCGACCAATGTGCTTCCACTACAAGGGTCATTATGCACCTTCTTAGTTTATAAACATCAAAATGACAGAGAAACACCTAACAGTGTGTTCTCAGCAGTTACAGCTCTGTGTGCCGTTTCTTTTGAACCACGTCTGGGTATGTTCATCTCTTCGTTGAGCATCCTCTTTAATAAAGGGAAAGAACATTGAAAGAAACATAGTCCCAAAGCCCTCATTGAATATACCCAAAACTCAGCAAGGATTCAAACAATGAGTCTGAAACAGAGGGAAGGCATCAGTCTTTATAGTCGAAGTCAAGGATGTGGACACAGGTGCATATGTGTGGGTTTTCTATTTAATTTAAGGATACATACTAAAACAGTAATTAGAGAAAAAGAATTTGTCGTTTTAATTAAGTTTCTTGAGGGGCTAAAAGGTAAAGACTGAAAACACTCCTGGGGAAAGGAGTTAAAGGGAAAGTTTGAGCTCCCTCTTTCTTCCTTTTGAAGAAATTCACCAGGATTCCCTTCCTGGGAGACCAGATGACCCGCCCACAGCCGGATGCGCATGCGCATCCTCCGGCACCTACTCCCAGCCCCCCTGGGGAACAGCTGCTGTGAGTCAGCAGCGACTTAAACAACAGACACAGAGTTCTCAAAAGTAGAAATGTCGGCTGGGGAGATGGCTCACTAGGGAAAGCACTTGCCAGCCAAGCATAATGTCCACGTGTAAATCCTTAGCACCCAAAGAAAAGCAGGGCAGAGGTGGCAGCCGGCCTTTAGTCTCAGAGCTTGAGAGGCAGAGAGGCGATCCCAGAGGTAAGGTGGCCAGCAGGTCTAGCCAAATCAGTGAGTTCTGGGTCCAACATAAGGGACAGACACCAAGGGAGATACTTAATGTCAGCATCCAGCCCCGCTCCCCCACACACCAACCACATGTTTGTGCAAATGCACACCACAGACACAAGTAAATTTTTTAAAGTAGAAATACTCACAAAGCCATTTCAAACTGTTCCAGCCACTTTTTCTTTAAATCTTTTGTTTTGCAATAAAATTCTAACCCATTTTGTCCTTGGGTATGGATGAGGTAGAAGCCATAAGACCACTGTGAAAATGGATATTCTTCAAGTTAATAATTGTCATTTGTTAAAAAAAAAACATTTCCAAATTTATCAGCGTGCCTTACCCTCCACACAAAATTTTATAATTCTATCAGCATTAATATAGATGATTATAACCAATTTCAACTTCACATTGATGAGAAAATCACCGGTACCATATTGATCTTAGGAATTAAAAATGATCAGATCAACTGTGCCATGATCCAATCATGGCTCACAGGAGCCTCTACAAATCAGTCTCTGAGAACTAAATGCCTGACCCAGAAAGCAGCAGCGTGGAGTACTAAGGTACACCCGACTCCAGATTTGCAGGCTCTGTATTCAAATATTCAACAACTGCAGAGGAAACAACATTTGCTGCCTCTTTACTCAGGATGTGCAGACTTTCCTCTTGTCGTTATTGCTAAACACTGTGGCCCAACAGCTGTTTGCAGGAATTTAAGCATTGTCTTAGGTTTTAGAGAACCCAGGGATGTTTTAAATTATATAGAAAGACATGCATGGGTTCTCTGCAGACATTAAGCCATTTAGATAAGGCTCTGAGTATTTGCAGATTTAGACATCTGCCCTGGAGGGGGTGGTCTAGACACCAATGGATGGCTACATTTGAATATTCAAAGCTCTACATAAATGACTAATAGGAATGTCCCAGAAGGTCACCTTTTTATTTTCTTTGTCAGTGGTAGGATTGTTGGCTATCTTGTACTGCTGCAGATCTATGATTTCCTTCATCTCATAGTTATCCCCTTTCCTCTTACACACAATCACTGCCAAATCGAATAAGAAGATATGCCTGCAACAGAGAGACAGGGCGAGTGACTGACAGAAATGGTTGAGCAGCTTGTGTGCTTTTTCCTGGAAGGATATGAGTCTGCCAACCAAGCATTCTTCTCTGGCATTAAGGACACCAGGCTGGGCCACACAGGGGAATACGGGCTCACAGACGCATCAGAGGTCTCCAGCACAGCGATGGAGAAACGCTGCCACTCCACCCCAGCGCCCCTCACTTTAACAAAAAGAGAGGGAAGAATCATAAGAAGAACAATACATATACCGCGGAGTTATTGAAATACTCCTTGAGATAGGCCATAAAGCCACTCATGAATAACTGATCTCTTTTTATTTAAAAGCTAAAAACTCAGAAAAAAAATATGCACGCTCAGGACAGTAGATCCTGTACTACTTTAAAGGCAATTGGTCAAAAGCCTTGAGAACCATTCATCCCTTCCAAAGACAAGATATACATTTCCATGTCCCCACCCAGGTGGGAGCGACTGCCCTCCTAGGTGAGCAAACCCAAGCTGGGGTAGGTGTGCAAATAGCCAAAAGTGATACTGATGATCGGGTACAGTGTAAGATCACACCCAGGCTAACTTTAGAGCCTGTGGTTCACGCCTCATGCCGAGTGTCACAATTTAATGGGTCACTTTAAGCACAGCTTGGGTGTAAGAGAAAACTGCAAAAACAGGAAAGCGGTGGTTAACTTTCTGTGTTAATTTTTCTTTATCTTTTTTTTTCTTATTAAAGGCAATGTTAATTGGGGAAGGAAATGAACCTTCTAACCTTATCATCCAGCGGCAATATATGTGTGCTTTGTGAAACACCCAGTGATTAACACGCGTATTCTTAACCAATGATTGTGACAATGACACATTCACAGTGCTCAAACACTTCCCTCATCCTCAAAGTCAAAAGTGTGGCTCCTGAGAGCTACCTGTGGAATCAGAGTCAAGGTGGAAGCAAGAGCTGATGCTGCCCCCTGCTGGCCGACTCTCTTTTCTGCAGGATTCCAGGAAGCCACCACACAAACGTCAGTCTGACAATCCTGCATCACAGTGGAGGCTTACAGGCCAAGGGTACTGAGGATATTCAAGGACTCTGCCTAGAATTCTCCCTAAATAAAAATATAATTAAATAGTCTGCATTTGACCGTCCTTCTTAGTATGCTTTTCATTATTTTTCATTAATTTTTAAATGAGTCTTTTTTAAAAAGGTAATCATGGTTCTGTGGCCATTGTCTGGTGGCATTTTGTAATTGGAAGGTGTATTTTCACCTGCCTTATTTTCAAAGGTTTTCATTTAGGCCCTAAAAACGCAGACAAATCAACAGGATGCAGATTAGAAAATGGGGTCGTCCATAAGGCATACATTAGGAAATGCAAGGGACCACTGACTGGCCTGTTCCCTTGCCTGGCCACCCCCACCCCATCACTCTCACGACAGCAACTAGCAACTGCTAATTCTGAGAGCGCACGGCCCTCCCCTCTTCTCACCTTTCTTGTTTCGCATGCTTGTCCAGCGTGGTGATTCGGATTTCACCGTCTCCCTGAGGTCGCCCAAAGAGCAAAACTGGTTGGTTCTAAAACATAAACGTATTTGTAAATAAATATAAAAAGTGTGTCTGACCTTTCCACAATCACAAACAGAAGCAAACGTTAGTAAAGACATTTTCCTGGACAACTACCCTAATTATAGAAACAATCGATATCATTTTTACTTATTTTAATACATTTACTCTAAAATGCACAAGACTTTGATACAAGATACAATACAAAACTCAATCTGTCCTTTGAAGTTACAGCAGGCTTACTGTGGACACTACTTTTACATACAATCTTAAAAGGGAAGTTACCAGGGCTGGCTTTGACCTCCCTGAGGACTAGCTGTCATGGTACCTAGAGCTTCCGAGGGACAGAAGCGACTCAGCTATGATGCATATGACCCACAATGGCCAACACGACACAGTAACCATAGGGATACACATAACATGACAGCAACTGAGAGCTCCCTAATCATACCTGGGACTGAAAATCTATCCAGCTACACAGGATCAGTGATGTCACAGATCTTGCAGGAGAACCTACAGCCATCATTTTGCTAAACCAGCACAATCCCTAACGTCGTTCTTGGTAGTTATTCTTAGGCTCACTGGTACATGTAGCTCCCACCCCTCACCCAGGAAACTTCCTTTGCAGCAGACAGAGACCATTACGGAAAAGCACAACCAATAAAAATACAGCGTTGTGCAGCCCTATCTCAACTGATATCTCTACAACACAACTCCTCTACCTTAGGCTCAGGGACCGCTGCAGAAGAGGAGGCAGAAAAATTGTGAAAGTTGGAGAAACAATAGGTTTTCTGTGAGATCATGCTGCCTAAAATACCAGAGAAGCAATACCCACGAAGTTTCCCCAGCGTGACTTCCTAAACACGAGTTGAACAAAGACAAAGAGAGCTGCAAATGTGGGAGGGAAAAGCTCACAAGGACTCAAGCCTAGACAAAAGCTACTGGCAACTAAGAAAGGCTGAGAATAAGGGAATGGTCTTCTCCGAGTCAGGAGCACAATTGGTTATCCAGTGCCGAATGGTCAGCTCCCAAAACACAAGCATATAAGTAACAATATACAAACTGAGTGTATTGGTACAGTATTTAGAGGAAATGAGACCATGGATTTGAAAGAGAACAGGATGGGAGGGTAACTTGGAAGGGTTTGGAGGGAATAAAGGGAAGAGAAAAAAGGATGCATGTAATTACTTATAATCTCAGCAAAGGAAAATATTATTTAAAAGGGAGAGTTAGATACCAAAAGAGAGAAATAACTGGAATGATCTTAACTAGAGGAAAATTCTAATAACTAATATTTGTCACACATTCAGGATGAAATGACACAGCCTTTCTCTTCATAAACACACTACCCACAGGGAAACAAATAGTTACACACGCATGTAATTGCTAACACATAATTATCCCCCAAAGCAGAGTATATAGGAAGGGGAGATAATTTCACCCAAGGATTCAGGGATGGCTTCTTTGAGCTAAGAGTTCCAGGATAAAAAATTCTGATGTAACAATTAAATGAGATATTTTCATAACATTTGTTGCAGGGACATAAAGTATTTTTAAACTATTAATCAACACTTATAGCACTTGCTAAGGGAAAAGAGAATTGACTAAAGATTATCAATCGCACTTAGGCATTTTATTCTAATATAAGATATAAATGTTATTTCAAAAAAGTGATAAAATAATAAATGTTTGCTGTCAAAACCCCACTGTTACACTCTGGAATAAGTAGAATAAAAGTTTCATCTTAAAATCCATAGAGGGAGGCAGGTGGTAGTGTCTCACTCCTTTAATCCCAGAACTTGGGAGGGAGAGGCAGGCAGATCTCTGTGAGTTTGAGACCAGCCTGGTCTTTAGAGTGAATTCCAGGGCAAGCAGAGCTATTACATAGAGAAACCCTGTCCAAAAAAAAAAAAAATACAACAAAAAACCTAAGACATAAAAAAATCATATTGGAACCTCAAGGGACCCTGAAAAACAACAACATTGGCTATTTTATACTCCCTGACTTCAAACCTTATTATAAAGTTAGAATAGTTAAAATAGTACAGTATTGGCATAAAGACCAACAGATTAATAGACCCATGGAATAGGAGTGATCCCAGAAATAAGACACATAATGGTTTTCAAAAAGTGCCAAGAACATTCAATGGGGGAAAACAAAGTTCTTGAACAAATGGTGCCAGGACAACTATATACATCTACAAGGAAAAAGAATAACGTTGGGCCTTAGCTTTATACTGTATGTAAAATGACTACTTAGAGCAAAGATCTACACAGAAGAGCTAACACTATTAAGGCTTTACAAGCAAATAGAGGGGAAAAAAACCAGAACTGAGTTCTTAAATGTGACGTTAGATGTATCACCAGGAAAGAGAAGGTGGGTGAACTAGAACTATGGCATCACCAATGCTATCTGTAGAAGAAAAGTCGCCAGTGATACCTGTGTGAGGAGGGACTGGTGAATATATGTGTATTTAATAAATTCTACAAATACATATGCACACGTGTGCATGCAAGCACACACACACACACACACACACACATAACAGGACTCAAAAGTTGCCAAGGTATTCATTTCTCCAAACATGTCCAATGAATATACAAAACTGTGTTCGATGCTTTTAGTCATTGGGAAAATGCAATCAAAACCAGAATCAGACACAATCTCGCATCCATTTGGATATGTATTTTGCATGTGTGCTTAGAAAAGAAAACATCTAAAAAGAGATCTGAAAGTTGGCATTTGTCAAGTTCAGGGAGAAACTGGAATCCATTTATATTACTAGTAAGAATGCAAGCTGGGGCAGCGGTCATCAAGAATGGAATGGCTATCACTCAAAATTTAATCACAGAATTACAATACAGTAGCCATAAGAAATGGAAGCGGGGCCCTCAAACAGACAATGGCAGACCCACTTCACTGCAGCATTGTTTGTGATTCTTCAAATGGGAAGCAACAGATGTTCTCCGGACAAAACGACACAACGTGGGCTATGCACGGGACACATCAGACAGCCTTAAGGAGACAAAACTCACGCTCGGCAACACGAATGAAAGCTTATGGCATGGGGCTAAATAAAATAAACTGGCCTCAAGAGCACCAATGCCATATGGTTCTATATGTCAGAGGCAACACAGGTACTGGATTCAAAGCCAGAAAGAATGGTGCCCGGGGACTGTGGAGGGAACAGGGTGCACAGAACATGTGCCCAGTGAACAGGGTTTCACAGACATAAGAGTTCTGGAGCTGGACAGAAACCATGGGTATAGAAGATTGTAAATATACTTAATATCATATGTTTATGGTGGTCTATTTAAGGTCAGTCATATTATCATACTGCCAATGCTACATAGCTGTCAGGAACTATACCATGAAATTCTAAAAGAGAAAGGGTGCTGGGAGGTTAGGGAATGGGATTCCCTTTAGATAGGACCTGGAAGGGACACGACAGACCATGATGGGGAAAATACTCTGGGCTCCGAATGGAATATGTTCAAAGGTAGAACCACCAAAAGCAATAGAAAACGGGAGACTTGCAATCAGCATGGCGTAATTCCCATGGCATAAAACATGTGGGCAGTTATCCACTGAACGAGTTCAGAAAATGGTTTAAGTTCAGATCATGGCATACTTTTAAGGGGTGGCAGCTGATGGCACCAGGACAGTCTTAGCGAGTCTGGGAAAGAAGGCGAACTGGAAAGCGGCTGTTTAAGACATAACTATCTACAGAGATGGCTTGGGGCTTCGGGGCTTGTCAAGGAAGCAGGTGATGGCATCGTGATGTGGAGAAGTGGCTGTGTACGGGAAAAGGAGGGGTGTGCAGGGGGAGTCAGAATGCAGCAGTGACATGACCTCGCCAGAAATCCCTCAAAGCCCTTCTGCTAGGCCCTTCCCGCAGGTGTCTGCAGTCCTCCCTGCTCTCTGGAAACCGTTTCAATAGCAACCTAGCTGCCTCCGTAAAGGGACTTCCTGAACTATAAACAAGTCTGGGACACCCCACTCCAGGACAGACAGAAACTGCCCTCAATCTCCACGGCAGCCACAATGAAGCCCTAAGCCGTCCTTGGCCCACAGGGCTGTGCAACGCTCTTCCCCATGCCCTGTGACCTCAGAGCTCATCACCTTCTGTTCTCACTTCTAGCCGCCCTTGCCTCTCAGCTTCCTGAACACACAAAGTACTTCTTACCCATCTCTGGGCTATTCCCTTTTAGGCATCCCCCTGGACCCCTGACCTAATAGATTTACGTCCGGCTTCTCACTCTTTAGCCCAAGTTAAAATGACAAGCAACTCAAAAGAACTGTTTTCTATTCAGGTTACCGAAACTCAGGCTCTCTTTATGGTCCTCTGGGACGCCTGGGAGAAGGGTCAGGGGAAGACTGAGGGAGAGAGGCAGGCAACAGAACTACCTTGACAGTGTTGAGGTCACAGGGGATATCACACAAGAGTAAAGGCCAAACAGAAATAGGAGGGGGAAACCAATGCCTGGTAGCCGAAAGTTGAAGGTAAACCATCTTTTCCTCAACTCCAGCTCTCCGAATGACCCCCAGTTTGGGGCTGAGGGGAGGCAGGATGGGGGGATAATCACATACCAGATTTTCTATAGACAGCTGAAACTGCCTGATCTCACGAAGGGTCTCATTGTCTCTTTTCACTTCGTTCACATACTGTGCCAAGTCCTAGAGAATGGAGAGAAGACACTGGAAGATTAGAGACACAAGCTGCGCTGAAAGGAAAACACATCATTCATTGCCGCAGTGATGGACGTCACCACCGTGACTTCTCGATGACAACAAAAATGAGCACTCAGTCCATCAAAGCTGCAGCTCAAAGCCAATTTTAAAATATGGGGCATGCAGCTGGGATGGCTGAAGAATCATGGAGCTGTGGTTTACCACACCCATGAGGAGAGTAGGGATGCTGCTGCCTTAAAAGGGAAAAAGAAAAACCCTGCTGCAATGCAAAGCCATGGAGGAAAGTAGGTCAGGAGAATTTAAATTTCAGGAGCATTAATGGCCGACCTTGACAACAGTGCATCTGTCCCTGGGTTAGATGAAGGGCAGAGCTGAAGGCGTAGCAGTGAGGGAAAAGTAACCAAGTTACATGTTGCCCTAGCAAGAGGGTCTTTTGAAGCCAGTTAATGTCTTGTTAGCTCTGGAGAAGGCTCAGTCATGAAGGCTACTTCAATTTCAGAGTCAATAAAGGAGAAACAAAGGAGAGGTGAAGAACGGAGCCGCACAAAACCAGAATAAACTGAAGGGAAGCCTTCGGTCATGCGCTCCACCTGCCTTCACCTATTTTAAAAATGTTTCGTTCTGCTGTTTTTTTTTTTTTTTTTAATTTGCTAAAGCATTAGCTCATCCTCCCATACTGTAACTGGCTATTTTTATTTTGTGTGATCCTCATTTTCCTGTTTTCTAAGTTTTTTCTTCCTTTACCTTCCTCAAAGCATCCAAAAGGAACACAACTCTGCAAATAAATAACATTCTCAGTGGAAGTTTGGCTTCCGGTAGGACCCATCCATGAATGACTTCTTTAGGGACACAACATTTGTTACTTTTCTGGCCTCAATAAATGACCAAGTAAAGATCATGACACCCACGCTAAGATCATCCAATCAACTGAGACCAGTCGGGAGCACCGTTAAACACTTAGATAACACACAGTCACTCCCTCTCACAAAACAAGTACTTGATTCTGTTCCAGTCATAGATCAGAGTCAAGTTGACTAAGCATAATATGAAATTATTATATCCCCCCAAGAACTTCACACCGCCTGCTTTTATCCCTCTCTGTGTCTTCTTGACTTTCAGGTTTAGCTGGAAACAAAAACTCAAAGAGAAGTCCGCTTGTACAGGATCCATCATGGGCAACCTGGCAGAGGATCGGTCTGAGGACAAAACCACACTGGTGCTTCCGAAGCCACCTATGGCCCTGTGCTTATTCAAGGCAGCAGCAGTAGCTATGAGAAGAATGTGGAACAAAACCACTATCTGAGTCGTTCCTGGAGGCTGTAAAAGTTAGCCAACTGCAGAATAGTAGTTCGATTATACCTCTTGGTTTTATGCCATTGTTTTTTGTCTAGCCTTTAAATCCATATAAGAATTCCATTGCAGAGACTGATGCTGGAAAGTGTGCCACAAATTTGAGACCTGTCTGGTTTACATAGCACGTATTAGGAATCCCCAGCCTCAGAAAACAAACAAACAAACAAACCCACCACAAACGGCAGGCCGAACATCTATTTCAGTATGTTACTTTGCTCTCCTCACCGATAACAGGCATGAATGTTGACAGGGAAAACAGTTACATGTAGAGACACTAGCAGTGTGAACCCCACAGCTTCTAGGCAGGCAGATAAAGACACAGGCACGGTTCAGCGGTGGCTGCCTTACCTTCATTGCATCCAGAGCCAATTTCAGGTTCGCCTTCTCAGTAGGATCATGGGTGTGTTTGACCAGCTCCTGTTTGAAGACACAGGTTAGCAATGCTTTCCTTAAATTCAAAACTAACACTGAAGGAACAGGCAAAAGGTTTGAAAGACACCATCAGCCTCTCCACACTGTGATAGTGTTGACTGACTCTTTCCAGCTATATGCCACCCTCGCCATTACACCCATCTGTTTCCCAGAACGTCCAAACCTCTAGGTGGAGAGATACTTTCTATTCCCTCTCACACACTACGTCTCTAAGAATGGATTCTAATGCCACATCCATCTCCATTTGGGGACAAAAGGATGCTTTGTGTGTTATACTGCTACTGTCTTGCTTATATATCCTATATTTCTACAAACTCTTCAGTCTTGCATGTCCTTTCTCATGGAGAGTTTCTGTCACCTACATGCTCACTCTCTTATTCTAATCTGACAAATCCTCCAGATTTGATCACAGCCATTGTCATATCACCTGTCACCCAATGAGGCCATTCCTCTGCAGTATGCTTGCCGAACCCAGAATTCATACCTGATATCAGACTCAAATGTCCAACTAAATAACTGTCCCACAGACCCCTACATCAAATAAATTCCAAACTTGCTCCACCCTTACCCAGGATGAGCGGGCAACTGAGGGTGTTTGATTAAATAGCAGCATTTCCATTCGTGTAGCAATCAAAGCCAAGATCTGAAGGGTATCCCAGGCTCTGCCATCCCTTTTCCTTCCCTGTGTCTCACTGATGCTAACTTTGGTCCTGCCCTAGAGAGCACTTGCCTGGCTGTCATCTTTTTTGAACAGGTTATTCTCAAGTGCTTCAAACTAGATTTTGGACCTAGGTTCTCTCCTTCCAATAATCTGCTCATGCCTCTGACACCAAGCAGGTTTCCAAACTCTAAGTCCTATCTTGTCTCCACCCTAGTTAGACTTCCATGAGTCCCCAAACTCTTCCACTGTTACCCAACACCTCCTAGTCCTCACGCACTGGATCTGGGTTCTGCAACTTCTTCTCATCCATTTCTCTCCACTTCCACCCAGACAGCCTACTTTCTATCCTCCCTAAGAAATCAATAGTTCTCAAAAGATATTCTTATTAACACATAGGACATGGTATTTTCTTTACTTAGAATGTTCCTCCCATTGAACACCTGCCAAACTCACACTAGTCCCTGAAAGCTCAATTCACAAATCATCCCTCTAGGAAGACGGAAGATGAAGCCTCTCCCGGGGTCCCCAGCAAGCTGAGGTGTAGCGGAAGCCTTTGTGTCTCTTCTGTGCACCCATCACATTGTTACACTTCAGAGTTTGCACTGATCCTGTCCTTCTGAATGGTGAGACCTAGTGCAGAGGGGTGTGTAGTCCTGTTGCACAATGCATTCCTAACGCGCGCACGCGCGCGCACACACACACACACACACACACACACACACACACACACACTACTCGAAATTCTCTAAAAGCCTAAACACTGGTACTGTTTCCTGTTACAAATAGGAACTACAGATAGAGAGAACTGCCAAATATAAAAAGCCGCCCAAATCCTATTTTCAGTCTCACTTTGTTAAATAAAATAGTAAAACACTCTTAAAGTTTCCAAAACTCCCCCTAAAAAATATTTTAAATTTCATAAATCATTGTCATCAAATCAGGCAGCAGCTGAAACCGATTTCCTTGAGAAATCATGAAAGTGTAGGAGAAAGGAGAATAACCACATTTTTAAAAACAAATTTCTAGACACCAGACTAATGCTCCAAAATACTTTGAGATTTAAAAAAAAAAAACCTCTAAGATTTTTATCTACATGTAGTACCCAAAATAAACCTTCCTATCTTTAAATGCAATTATGTAATTACACATCTTCTTGAACTCTGAAACACAAAACAGCACGAGAAAACAAAAAAACAAAAAACAGTGGGCCAAGTGAGGAGTTTCAAAAACATCTAATTGTATTTCTTAGTTTTATGAGTCGGGACAAAGTCTTACAAGGGCCCAGAGTCTTTCTCTCATTCTGAAATCTTATAAATTCTTCAGTCAGCCCTTCACTACATCAAAGCAACAAAATAAACCATTATCTCATTTTGGACACTTTTAGCTCCATGATGTCTTGAAGGTTAACTGCTTGAGTCGTCCTTATTAGTTTTTCATAAAATGCAATTTGATTAAGTTACTTTGAGTTTAGGTCTCATAAATGTTTTAATGCACTTTTTAAGAAATAATCAGGGTTTGAATTTTTCTGATTTCTCAGTAGAACCAAAATAGAAATGACTAATAATTGCATGGCTACAGTTCAAGAAACTTAATACACAAGATGTACAAAGCACAGAAGACTCAAAATTCTATTTCACGTACAGGTAGTAGATTTTTTTATTACAAAGCGTTCCAGGAGCATCAGCTGGGCTGGCACACTAATACAGTAAGACATTTCTTTGGAGCAGAACTAATGAGCCTCCTGGTATAGCTATCAAATTAAATTTATAAGACTCTCCACCCTCATTAGCGGACTTAACTGTGGAAACCGTAAACTTTGTGGGCTTTAGTAAGAATCACCTCACAGTAGGGTGTAGCCTTATTATATTTAGCGCAGTGAAAAGGCCATACAGCGCATAACACAATCTTCTATGAATTGTTGTGATAAGATGGAGACGCTAATGCAGTTAATCGGACCACACTCACTGGCAAATGATTATTGCTGATTCCAAACTATGCCATTTAAGACATATTTGTACTTGTTCTTGTTTTTTCTTTTTCTATCCTGTTTGAAGAACACAACATGTGTCTTTTTAGTAAACACAGATATTTTTTTGTCGAAAAGGAAAATAAAATGCCTAGCTGTCCTGGCCATTTTACACTTAACACTAAAAATATGAAGACTCTGCAGCATGATGCTGAGGAAGGTAGCGCCCTGTGCAACATGATGTCGAGGAACATGGCGCCCTGTGGGAGGAACAAACGCAGTGGAGCATTGTGAACGTACAGACCTGAAGGAGGAGGTGGTACTTCAGCACACGCTGCATGGGGACGACCAGCAAATCGCGAAGAGTAAACTTCCCGTTATTTGCTCTCTTTGAACATTCCTAATGCGATAGATTTCAAATTTTCTGTTAGTTTTCTCAAAGGAAGTCATACAACACTACAAGATGCAAAGTCCACAAGTAGAATCCTTCTGAAATATCTTCCCTCCTTTCCTTCCCAATACTTCTGTTCAAACAATAAAGTACCTTCGGTTTTTTAGAGCAAGTCTAAAACGTGAATCAAATGAACTGTTTCGTCAGTGAAGATTATTCTACAGCACAGAATCCTAACCCTGCACAGCTTTCCTTTAGAGCTGACTCCCACATTCCCCTCAGGCTTATGAAGCAGACAGCAGCAATCCCCCGCTCACTGAAGTCCTGTGGGCTCATCCACCTTCACACTTCAGCTTCATCAAGTCTATCCAATCACTCTTTCCAGTCTCTCCAGAGAAACAACCATCCCTTTTCCAAAGCATTCTGCGAGGCGTTAAGATGAATCTTAATCAAAACCATTTCCTTCACCTCTTCCTCCCTCCCTCCCTTCCCCCCCTCTCATTTGGTCTGTATACATATCTATCTTGTGGTCCTTTATTGTCACTATAAAGAATATCTGCCCCAGTATAACCTTTTATACTAAAGACATGTCACTTAAACCTCTTTTTAAAAACCCTCTGTTTGCTTAATAAATATTTATTGAACTAAATGAAAAGGAATATTTGGCTGAATATGTTGAAATAGAAACCTGCTACCACAGATAATATTTTAAATCCTCAGATTTTACGTATTTAATTCTCTTTTTAAAATACTTTAAAAAGGGCATGGTGGTGCATGTATTTAATTCTAGCACTCAGGGGCCTGAGACAGGAGGAGTGACATAAGTTTGAGGCTGCACAGTAAACTCTGTCACAAAACAAAGAGTTTACTTTAAAATTATATTGACTTCTTCACTCTTGATGGCAGCTGTGACCTGGAAATAGATAAATTGAATTTTAAGTATTAACATATGAAACCCTGACTGTGTGACTTGGGCAGGTTACTGTCCTCCCTGGACCTATATATATATATATATATTATTATATAATATATGAAAGTATTTCCTATGTATAATATACCAAATATATATTATATATAATATATTATTTATGTGTATCTTATATATGAATAGTCATCATCATATATAATATATACTAACTAGATAGATAGATAGATAGATAGATAGATAGATAGATAGATAGATAGATAGATAGATATTCTTGGTTGTCAATTGACTATATCTTAAATTAGCTAAAACCCAAGCAGCTAGGTATACCTGTGAGGGATTTTTCTTGACTAAATAATTTGAAATGGGAATCTATCTTTAATCCAGAACTTTCGAAGTGGGAAGATCCCCCTTTTATCTAGGTCTTCTGTTGGAAACTATATAAAGGACATGGAAGAAGAAAGCTTTTGCTCTTTGCTTGCTTGCCCTCCCTCACTAGACAGTTTCTCACTGGCATTAGACCCGACTTCATCGGGATTTGAGCACTTACTGAAGACCAGCTGAGACATCCAGCCTCATGGATTGGACAACTGGATTCTTGGATTTCCCACTAGCAACCACTGATGGACTAGCAGAACCACCATCGGCAAAACACTCTAATAAATCCCCTTTCTATATACATTTCTAGGTAGGTTCTAGAGAACCTGACTAAGAAAAAAATTGGTACCAGGAGTGGGCTATAGACTCATTCTGCCAATTTTGTTCCTCTAGAGAATCTTGACTAAAACATATATACATTGTTATTCCAAAAGGTGACAAAATGTCAAACAACAGCTAGAGAGAAATGACATGAGTTGAACATTCTCCTGCAATTACAAGTGACAGACCATGGACTCTTCAGTGTAGAGAGTTACTTAATATAACTGAATTTATTTCATTCCCCATTCGTAGCTTTTCTAGCACACTCAAAGGCATTACTAGGAGCTATGGCATTAATGCCAGTGATTCTAATGACCATAATGGCTTTGTGACTGTGTTTGACCACAGATCTAGTGCAAAATAAGCAAGAAAAACATACTGATTGGTTATTTGTGCCTTAGTTAACACAGTCCATTAGGAAAATAAATGTTTCAACATATTACCTGTATGTGCACGGGGGAACATGTGTGTGACAGCATGAACTCATACATGTGGAGGTCAGAAGACAACCAAAGGTGTTCTTTCTCTGGAGCCATCACCATGCCTTTTTGGCCTCTCATTGGCCTGTCACTCAGCAGATAGGCTGTATCAACTGTCCAGCAAGTACCAGGATGGGATCTTCCTATCTTCACCTCCCAGAGGTGAGCGCATGGCCATGTATAGTCACGCCCAGCTTTTTTATGTGGTTCTAAAGGTTGCACTCAAATCTTCATGCTTGCATGGATAACTCTGTGAAAGCCAGCCCTGCTATCCCCCAGCCTAGGAGTTCAACCAATTTCACGTATTCCATAGATTCTGGGACATTGCAAATCATGAGTCTCAACCAGGAGGTCAAATCAAAACAACTGAGCCTTCTCACGCCACTGTATTTTAAGCTCTTTGGGGTGGCACAATTTTTAACTCTAGGCCATCCCAACTTAGTGCAAGGAACAGAAATTTGTACATATAAACTCACAGAAATTCATTTAGAATTATTGGGAGGGACATCTGCTTGCTTAAGCTCCAAGTTCATGGGGGGAAACCATTACTGGCATCAGCTACAACATAGACGGAGACTGGGGTGTGTAAACTCTTGTCATTGAAAGTAAATAAGGGACATCAGTAACTTTCTAAAGGAATCCATCACCACTTGACCAACACTCACTCTTAACCAAAAGAACTATCATTGAGTTTAATCTCAGACTCCCAAGAAAAAGCAGAGTCTCTTACCCCATGCCCTATGTTAACTTGCTTCCTAAGTAAGAAAGACACACATACTCACACTTAACAAAAATAATAACAACCAAAAAACAAAAAACAAAAAACTAACCACCAAAGTTAAAGATACAAATGACGGGCATCGAGAGTAAGACAGCTATCACAACATCTCGTGGGGTGCCCATGTTACACTTCCTCATTAAATTCTCCCAAGTCAGGCCCTGTTCGGAAGAGGACATCTGAGCTGAGCGGGAGGCTGCATGCTGAACTGCGGTTTCTCCCTGGCAACCTTTTCAATTCAGCCTGAGGCCTCTCCTCTCCGGAGACTGGCAGGAACTGGACGGGATGTACAGTCCTGGTGTGCATGTCCTGGCAGAGTTTTGACACTGATTCTGATAGAAGAGCAGTCCCTCCACAGGGCTGAGAACCAGAGAGGCCCGAGAGACAGCATGCTGACTCCTAGCCAGAACCACAGTTTTATACCTTCATCTAAGAACAAATAAAAGATGCTTTAACGACTGCTTCGCTCCGAACTAACAACGTGAGCTGTAAAGCTTTATTTTATCGCCTAATCTACTTTGAGTCAAGGTAGCTTAGACCTCTACACTTACGAGTATCCATTCTCTGGGAGAAGCATTAACCCTTAGTACTAATGATACTTTAAAGATGTCATTTAGTGGTGATTAACTGTCTCTAGATATAAGGTCACTATCATCAAGGGACACTATAAAATACTCTGTGCTCTCCTAAGCAATAATGTTCAACTCTGGACGGTGGAAGAAATGAAATCACACCCACTGGACTAAAAACAAGAAAGGGCTAGGATCTGTAAGACTTCCCCTCTTTCTATCACCTGACTTTACGGATGAACGAAACAAAGAAAAAGAGAAAGGGGATATTAAAGAGGCAACAACACAAAAGTATCGCTAAAGGTGCTAATTCAAATAACAATCATTTTTAGAAGTTCTTTAAATGTATAAACTCTTATCCAATATAATTAATACACATAAATCAAGGCTTTGGGGGAAAGAATGGGTTGAGATAAGGTCTCAAGATACACACACACACACATACACACACACACACACAAATATATCAACAGACAGATAGGGTGTGTGTGTGTGTGTGTGTGTGTGTGTGTGTGTGTGTGTGTGTGTG